AATAAGGCTATAACATATTAAAAAAATCACTTAAATCGGACACCAGGTTTAGGAGATATAAAGAAATCAAAAATTACCCATTTTTAAGGTGGCCGGTTAATTTTGGCCCAGAGTGAACCCTTACATTATGTTGCTGCTGTTTATTTGTCAGGGATTCATATTTTGTATAATGATTTGCTGTATAAATTTATTAACTATATAAAAAAACTTTTTAAAATTATTTATTATATTTTGACTTGCACTGGACCACTTATGAATGTTTGGTATTCTTTTGTATCAGTCACTGTACAGTTAACCTCATCTTAATCCCTTTGTTACAAGAAAGCTTGTTTACCCAAATTGCCATTCTCATAATTATTAACATTGTTACTGATTTATGGACCATCCGTTTCGGAGATTTTATCGTTGTATCGAAATTTTTCACTTAACTTTCTACATCCAATTAGCGGGTATTAAATTATGCAATTTACCAATTCGTTAATTAGCTTAATACGATCATAAATTAGTTTGAACAATTAAAAAATTCCGGGATTGTTAAAAGCAGATGAATAAAAATATAATTTGTGTTAACTAGATTTTATATTTACATGATAAAATCAACAAATTCGTTTACTACTATTTGAACTAAAACTATTTTTTATGTTCTATATTTAAAGGACCGGTTTTTATTTATAAAAAACTAAAATAAGATTTTTGAACTTTGATAATATACAAGGCAAATATCGAGCACAGTATTAATTTAATCTTGCCCAAGTACTTTCGATCACTAGATCATCTTAGGGGCATTTCGTCAATTGCGGCCTATCCGACAAGAGTGAAATGTCATAAATATAAAATGGGACATAACAATACACTACACAAAGACAAACAAACACTTTAAAATTTTGAAGATAGGCGAGCATGGTATATAGAAGCCGGAGACAGAATGTCATTCTGATAAAGTTGTTGGTTTATTGATTTTGTCGGTTAGGACTTTTGTGGTAAGCTCAAGTGCTGTGTTCAGTAGATTTATACCTCTATAATTGTTGGGGACATCTTTATCTCCTTTCTTGAATATTGGTATCTTTATGCTGTTTCTCTGTTATGCCTTTTTGTATTTCTAGTTGCCATCTCTAGGGTTATACTTTCTCCTAATTGCTATAGATTGATATGTGACAATATGTTGACAATATACATTGTGATGTTTATATGTATTATTCTTTCTGAGAAATAACGGCAGTTGTTTATGCTGTCTTTAAATTTTTTATGGACAAGTTTATCTACGCCTGCTCGTGTTCGTTCTTCTTTTTTCATTCCACTACTGTATGCTAAAAAACATTGGTTATAGTCTCATTGGCCTTTGCCTTTTTTCTTGGTTTTATAAAATATCGAGTCACCTTAATACAGCATATGGCCAAAGAAAAAGAAATATTGGAATGGATAATTTTATTTTTCAAATATCAAGCGATTACTAATCAATATGTAATATCCCATTCCTGAAACCGAGGAATTTACCAATAGAGATAATAAACGTTCATCGACTCTTGCTACAAAAGTATTCAAACTTTTGGTTTTGGATACAATTGTCCAAACTGCTGACGAAAAGATTGTCTCGAAAAATAGACCTAGAAAGTTTTGTTTTTTTTTTGCCAGATTTTAAAACTACCGCAGAATATCGAAGTTGAATTTGAGAAACGAGTTGTCACTTAGTGAATGCAGTTTATGTCACGATCAACCATTCTCCTGCAACAAGGTTATATTGCAGAATAGAAGATTTGACGTATCACTGCAATGCAAGAGTCGATTGAGGAACCAAATGAGCGGTTTGTCTAAAGACAGCGTTTTATTTTCGTTATTGTTTAATATTCACAAAAATTTAGAGAGGAAGATATGAAATAGAAGATATGTATATGTGTATAAACGACTGGTTGCAGCCAAATGTAGAAGCTGTAGAAACGAATCTGTCAGAGATTTTAGAACAATTTTATTGTCCAGGTATTAGTACTCTAACATGTAACACAGACTTTTGTGTTTCATTCCACAACAAAGAAGCTAGCATATAGCTAAATGTAGCGTGGATGTGTATCAACAGTGAGTCACCTTTTTTCATTGAGCCACGTTATAGAAATAAAATTAACCTATGCTTAAGTTTACAATACTATTACAATTATGATAAAAATTATAGAAAATTTTATGAATTTAGTATATTAAATTAGATTTTAATAGGTTTTAACATTCTTAGTAGTTTTTAAAATTTAAGTTTATTTAGAATTCTTTTATTAAATTTATAATTGTTAAAATGTATTAAATTGTATTGGAAAATCGTTTTTTATTGTAAATAAATAATTTTGAACATTTTAAAATTTCTTTTAATTCTAATAGCGCACAGAAATAAGCGCACAGAAAAAGTTTAAGGGGGTGTGCAGCCCTAAAAACCCCCAAACTTATGAGTACGTTCAAATCAAATGAATTTTGTCGCATCCTTAGTTTAACACATTATTTTTAAAAAATTTTTCCCTCATCACTTTTTTCAAAAAACAAGTAATGTCCATTTTTATTACAAGATGTTAAGCAGTTTAGGAGATAATGCAAAAAAAATATTTTGTAACTTCAAAGGGCTGTAACTTTTTTTGTTTACACTTTTGTACTAAGGTAAGTTGAATTCAATCAATTTATTTTTGTCTCCCGAATGCGTGATTTAATTTATGACATACCTTCTTAAAACACCCTATATAACTGTGTATGGGAAAATAAAACTGCTTTTACCATTTTCCTTACAATTTCATCATATTTTCTCGAGTTTATGCGAAACGAAAACAGTAAATAGACATGGCGTTTTTTAAACGTAACTTTACGTATAAAATGAACTATCACTTTAGTACTAGAGTCTTAATAATACATTTTATATAAGGGTATAATGTAACTGTTTGTATGGGAATATAAAACCGTTGTTTCTACTATTCTCTTTATAATTTCTCAATCACATTTCTCACCTATTAGACCTTGCTAGGACTTTAAATAATTATTTCAAAACGCCAAAAGAACCGCTATTCTATGACGCTACCTGTGACGACGCCATCTTGTAGCGCTTGTTTCGTGACGCTTGCCTCTACATTTTACTGTAATGAAAAAAAGTAATACCACGCCAGTATAGAAGCTTCGCTTCAGTAAGTTTTTCACTATTTATGATTGTTAAAAAAAAACAAAGCAGAATCAGCTGAACGTCTTCACGCATTTGTCATAAGCTACCCCTTATAATACCTTTTAGAATTTTTAAATAGCTGTATAAGATTTTTACTTAAAATCAATGATCTAGTAGACCCTGATGAAGAAGTGGAAGAACTAATTAGCGCAGCATGTCAAATGTCCCTCCCAATTAAAAGTTTTACTCCTAAAGAAGTCAGAAAACAAATAAACAAACTCAATTCACGAAAGGCCTTAGGCTATGATTTAATCTCGGCATAAGTACTAAAACAACTACCTCGCAAGACCATAACTTTGCTAACAGTTACTCCCAACCGTAAGCAAAGTTTTTGAAAGATTGCTACTACAAAGAATATACGCAGATCATGAATTCCTAACATTACTTCCAAAACATGAGTTTGGTTTTCGAGAAAATCACTCCATTACCCAACAAGTTCATCGAATGATAAATGAAATATCAAAGAGTCTTGAAGAAAAGAAATACTGCAACGCTGTATTTCTAGACATCTCACAAGCGTTTGACAAAGTTTGGCACATAGGTCTGCTTTACAAAATAAAAATAGCACTATCCAGTAATAATGTCCTACTACTTAAACCCTACCTAACAAATAGATATTTCTCTGTAAAATTCAAAGACCAACAATCCAACCTCTGTCCTATCAACTCCGAAGTCCCGCAGGGTAGTGTTCTAGGGCCGCTGCTTTTTTCACTCTATACAGCCGATATACTAGAGACTAATAATACTACAACCACTTCCGTTGCTGACGACGTAGCAATACTAGCCGTAAATGAAGATCCCATACAAGCCTCACAAAATCTGCAACATTATCTGAACATACTCAGTGATTGGTATACGAAATGGAGAACAAAAGTAAATAAAACAAAATCAACTCAAATAACATTTACCAACCGTCACAATATATGCGCACCTGTAAGGATGGAAAATGTAAGAATACCAACAGTAACAGACGCTAAATATCTTGGCCTCCATCTTGAAGAACGTCTCACTTGGAAGAAACATATCCAGACTAAAAGAAGGCAGCTCGACTTAAAATTCCGGCAAATGTATTGGCTTCTTGGACGTAAATCAAAACTTAACATCCAAAACAAAATTCTACTATACAAAGCCATGCTCAAAGCTATCTGGTTCTACGGACTACACCTATGGGGCTGTGCAAAGCCAACGTTGCTGAATATTATCCAAAGATTCCAGTATAAAGTACTAAGATCGATAGTGGATGCGCCATGGTACGTAAGTAACCATACACTCCACTATGACTTAAAGGTTTATTTCATCAGAGAACAAATCCATCGAGCCTCGGAGTCACAAAATGAACGTACCATTCACCACGAAAATAAGCTAGTAAGGAAATTATACAACAATGAACCAGCCACAAGAAGACTACATAGAACCTGGCCCCAAGACCTTCTTTAGAACTAAACCAAAATAGAATAAGGTGACAGATCATTGGATGGCTCCCCTTCACGCGCAAAACCTGTATCACATTTTATGATGTAGATTGTAAATAAACATAATAACAAAAAAAATCAATGATTTTTCACAGATAAACTGGAGTATTTTGCTTCCTCGGCAGTTCATGGCATAAAACGATTGTGTTGGTTCAGTAGTGATCCTTTTCCAAATTTGTTTTATCTATATAACTTATCATTGGACATTGGTTTATACAAAATACATTCAATTCAGCAATTTGGTACTTCTGAATTAATTTGTGTATTTAGGAGAATAGACACACTATGCATCGCAGACAACTAAAGCATTAAATGCCAGGAAATAAATTTTACTTTAATCAACTTACCTTTTGTTTAAGTACACGGGTAAAAGTCACAATAACCAATTAAGAAAACATTCACATTTGAACGCTTGTTAGTTCTCACAGACAGAAATTGTTTAAAAATTATATTCAAAACTTCAACTTAATTCACATTACAAATTGTTCTCTACACTACAACATTTCGAAGAACGTTCCTTACGACAAGGTCAAGTATACATTATTTTAATATACTGTGAAAACCCATCATAATAAAATAAACTTTGGGAAGTCTCAAGTAGAGAAACCTGTCAGCGGCAGTAGCTGGAAAATAAAATGTAATATTTCCAATATTTTGCCATCTTTCGTACACAAAAAGCGATGTGCACGTTGATTGTTTTGTGTTTTTCGAAACTTCGTTATCTTCAGTTATATAAATTTGTGTGTGGTAACAAGTTGTTATGTTTTGGAGAATTGATAATGGGAATATCAGAATCGGCGGTGATATACTTGGTGAATATTAAAAGTATTAAAAGAATAACAGACTTAATCCATAAATACAATATTTTTACGTTTTGTATCGCAGTTTTAATTTAAAAAATGTGAAAAGGTGTAAAAAAATGTAAAAAAATATCTGATATATCAATCAGAAGAAGAATTTTATACATTCTTTTAAAAATTGGGCCAAGAAGGTATTGGAATTAATAATCATTTTGTTCTAAAGAATCTTTCTTCTGGCATAAAAACTGTACTATCATGCATTTCTCAACCAACGGGAAGGAATTTTAAGAAGAAATGAAATACATAAAATGCGACGCAATATCAACGGGACAGCCAACATACTGGTCTACTGACACAAATAAAATCCCAGACCTTATCGGCTTCTTTGTAGTCAGAAATATTTCAACAAATTTCATAGAGATAGAAGAAGCATTGGATATGAACTCGGAACATTCTCAAACCATTCTCACACTCAGTGACACTGTTATCAAAAAAGAAAGCCCCCCTAAACTTGTTAACAAAAATACTGACTGGAAAAGTTTCCAAATATACCTTGAAGAGAAGATTAACCTCTCAGTTCCATTAAAAATAAAAGTTGCTTGGAACAACAGCACGAACAGTGTCGAAAGAATAAAAGGCAGTAACTATCCGAAAGATATTAGAGAAATGATAACCGAAAAAAGAAAACTGAGACGCAAGTGGCATCAATCTATAGCACCAGTTGATAAAAGTAGATTAAAGAATGCCACACTCTTATGTTTTAACGCTGTGACAATTATTAATTATTAGCATATAGTATTATTTGTATATTTCTTATTTGTAAATTAATTTAAGTTGGTTAGGGTCCCGAATGAAGAGTTTAAATAGAGGTCAATTTAATGTTTCCACTTCCTTTTTGTATTTTTTTTATTTTTATTTAACAATACCTATATATGTATGTGCTGCGCATGTGTATATAGTATTTAATATTGTAGCAAACAGTATTTATTATAATATCGTGACTGAATGGATCAATAATCCAAAACTATTAAAAAAGATAATAATAATAATGCCACAAAAAAACATCGAGCAATAAGACAAAAGAGGGAATCTAATCTTTATGAAAAGGAGACCAAAAAAGTGGCCTCTGATGGCGGACATATCCGGAAATGCGAATGCGCGAAATTTAAATTTTCCGACACTTATCACCAGTAGCTATATAATATTTTTCAGAATGTGTCTTAGACGAGAAAGTTTTAATTAATTATTAATGATAAGAGTCTAAAATGCGACACAATTGTTAAAAAACTTCAATATAAATAAGATTGCATGTGACATTTGGGACAAACAATAACATAACCCAACTAAATTTGATGTCAAACAAGGAGAGAGTCAAACACTTCCTGTCTAACAATATGTTTGCCCCCACTACCTTTACATTCCCTCTATTGTCTTTTTGCTCGATGCACAAAAATTACAAAGAGAAATTCAAAAAATTAAAAACGAATCGGTTAGCACCTAACTAAGTGAACTATTACATGATAGCTAAGAAATACTAAATAGTAATGGTAATGGTAGCTGGGCAAGAAGCAATATACAAAAGACCAACAGGTTTGCTGACCACCTAGAAAATACTTTTTAACCAAATGAAGAACAAGAAATAATTAACTGGGAGCTCCCTGATCAAGATTAACTGGAGATTAGTCATGTAACTCCAAAAGAAGTATATTTGAAAATAAAAGAAAATATAAATCCAAAGCAAGCTCTTGGATTTAATCTAATTACTGGGAAAGTGTTAAAGCAACTTCCAAGGAAAGCTATAATAAAATTAACACATCTTATTAACGCTTTCTTTAGGCTGAGGTACGTACCAAAGATATGGAAGGCAGAAAATTATAATGACACTAAAACCAGGAAAACCTCCACAAGATATCTTTATATAGGCCTATTTCACCGTTACCTATCATGTCTAAATTAAACGAAAAATTACTCTTGAAGATACCGATTATAGAGGAAAAAAATCAAATTCCTAATCATCAGTTTGGGTTAAGAGCAAGCCACTCAACGATAGATCAGGTGCATAGAATAACAAATATAGTAGAAAAAACTATACAAGAAGGAAAAGTCTGTTCCGCAATTTTCCTCTATGTAGCGCAGGCTTTTGACAACATGTGGCATGATGGATTATATCATAAAATGAGATGATACTTACCAAAACAATATTCTAAACTACTAGAATCGTATATATCCGACAGATATTTTCGGGTTAAATATGAGGAAGCATATTCAGAATTAAGAGAAGTTAAAGCTGGAGTTCCACAAGGAAGTGTCCTGGAGCCTGTGCTATACCTGCTCTATACCAGCGATATTCCATCATTAGAACCTAACACAATTGCGACATTTGCAGACGACACATGCATTCTAGCAGTCGACAAAACCACGAGGATGCAGCAACCATGCTACAGAACTCTGTTGAATAAATTAACATCTGGACCAGACGATGGCGTATCAAATTAAATGAATCAAAGTCTGTTCATGTCAATTTTACTAACAAAAGAGAAATTCTCCATTTTTTCATCATGTCTTCCCCAATACTTCCAGTATTGATGTCCATCAATGTTTCTGGTCCTTGAGGCTAAATGAAAAACATATCATCTACATATCTTCACCATACTGTGGTTTGTTTGTCCTGTTTGTGTACTATGTTATGTTTCAAACCCTCCATAACTATATCTAAAAATAATGGAGATAAGGATGAGCGCATGGCTAATCCGAAATTAAGCTTGTTGAAATCATGATCTACTTAAATATAAGTGTTGTCTTTGTAAAGTGTTAGAATTTATATAGGGTGTCTATTCCAGACAGAAATGTATGGAGAATGAAGGAGTACCATAACCAATAGGTTAAGATCTGGTTTACAGATGTAACAAAAAACTACAGAGGATGTGGGGCAGGACTACACTTCAATAGTCCAAGATTTAGCGTAAGATTTACTTTGGGGAGGAACTGCACAGTTTTTTAAGCGGAGATTTATGCAACACTGCAATGTGCAAAGGGAAATAATGAAAGAGCTCTTGAAAAACAGCAGATCCATATATTTTTTGATAGTCAAGCAGCACTCAAGGCACTAGCGTGTCATAAAGTGGCGTTTACGCTGATGTGGGACTGCATCAAAGAACAGAATGAACTGGGAGACCAGAAGAAGATTGAGCTTGTCTGTGTAGCACAGGCAACGAAAAAAGCAGATCGACTTGTAAAAAGAGGACCTAACGAATCAAACCAACCGACTCTAACTCTAGGAATATCAAAAGCTGCAGTTCGTAGCACTGTAGAGAGATATAATAAGCGATATTGCGAGAGAATCTCATAACAAACACATTGAAAAATGACATATTGGTGATATCGAAACTGACCAAGATATTGTTGGAATTGTAATCTACTTCTGCTAGTTTTTGTAGCATAAAGCTAAAAGCTGTATTATGTCTAGGAGGAACTTTGACAGTCTGTTACATGGAAAACCCGTGCTATTGCAAATTGAGCTGTAAGGTATATCTTCCTTATGTATTTTATGACTTCGTATAGGTAGGTAGGTCCTGCTGTAGTGTGATGATAGTATTGTTCTTTGGTAGTTTGTCAGGTAGTCCTTAAATTTGTGCATTGTTCTATATTTTTTCCAGTAGTTTGGTTGAATCCTTCTTTAATTTTGTGTAAGGTTTATTTCTGAACAATTCATGAATTTTTTGCTAATTACTAATCTGTCTGTCTCTCTCTGTCCTTCTTCTCTTGAATCATCCATTAACCTTTCCTTTTAGCTTTTAAGTCTTCATATTTGGTTCCTATTCCTTTTTTAATGTTGCATTTTTAAGAAAATACTTGTGGAGCTTTCATAGTCATCCCGTTTTTTTACCTTTAATATTTTATGTCCAAAATATTTGTACATTTTTTTTATAAAACATGGTACACACTCTGTATTTGTCTTTTTCTTTTTAAAATACAAAATAAACCATGCACAAAGCTATCAATCATAGAATACGATTAATGGTTTTTAAATAGACTCGTTCACGCACTAATTCAACATTTGATAAACTTTTTAAATCGTATTAAAATGAAAGAACAACTTAGATTAAAAGCAACAATTAAGAATCTATTGGTACAAATACTAATTTTTAATAACACTTAAAAATACTAAATCAATGAACAAATATTATAATGTAATACAGCAATGGAGTCAACAATAATAGAAATATTTTTCTGATACTGATAACACAGATAAATAATTTATGAACAATTTTTATATGTATATATACAGTGAGAAGCAACATTATGGAATAAATAATTTTTTTGGAGAATGGGCTATTTTGGAGACAAATCTCGAAACAGGTCGATATTTACTTTTAAATTATGATTTTTTGGCATATAATATATCATACTAATGACGTTAACATAATTATTTATACAAGGTGACAAAAATAATTTTTGAATTAAATAAATTGACACAATAAGTATGTATGACATTTATTTAATTTAAACATTTTAACATATTTTACTGCTATCAGAAAATAGAAAAAAAATATTTGACAAATAAACATTGCTTTTCGCTTAAATTAAATGTTCAAACTGCCATCCACCTGCCTGTTGACAGG